TGGACAGTAATATTGTGTGAGAGATTATGTGTGAATAACTGCTCCAAGTGAAAAATGTTCATGTAAAATTGAAAATCGAAATTGTTATTTCAGTAAATATTTGCATTTTGCACATAGAAAACTGATTCATGATTCCACGTTGATGAGAGCATTAAAATGGGGAAAAATAGGACAAAAATATATAAAAGGAAATTCAGAAACGATCAAAAACGCGTGAGTAATCACGATTACTTTTTAGTAGAGCTGTCAAACGATTAAAATATTTAATCTAATTAAAAATGCAACTGTCATAATTACCTCAAATTCACTAAAATGTGCACCTGGAGAAAACCCATGCAGGCATGGAGAGAACATGGAAACTCCACACAGGAAGATTGGAGCCGATTGAAACGCTACGCCTCTGCACTATGAGGCGGACGTGCTACCTAGTCGACCACTGTTTAGTATAATAATAATAATAATAATAAAAATACTGTATAGTGTGTAACATAATTTCCGGATTCCACCTACTTAAAAGCTGCAACAGCAAAATTTAGCCATAAAAAACGAATTTGTACAGATTGTCTTAGACTGGGTTTGCACTGCAGAGATAACTGTGTTTATTGCACTTGTTCCCAATTACTAAATTTACTAAACTGAAATCTGCTCATTTTGACTCTCAATTCCTCCTTCATACAGCCCCGCACAACGCTAAACATACACGTTTCAGCATTCCTGTCACTCTTTCGCTCGCTCGCTCTCTCAGCCAGCAAGCCAGCGGGCTCCTCCCGCAGCTTTAAATCATGTTGTTCCAACCGCAAATAGCTGACGAGTATTCAGTATGAGGGCGGACTCGAACATTTTCCTTGGTCCACTGTGACGCTTTGGGTTATTTCATTGGTTAGATGTAACGAAAATGGGTGGATATATTGATGACTTAATGATCGCCAGTAAAAATCCATAAATAAACTGTTAAAATATATAAAAGCCGCAGGAAAATATGGTACTTATTTTTCTTGTAAAGGCTTCAACTTTGAGAGAGCTGTGAGAAAAGCCTTCAAACATATAGTACCGTATTTTCCGCACTATAAGGCGCACCGAAAAGTCTTCCATTTTCTTAAAAGCTCACAGCGCGCCTTAAAATCCGGTGCGCCTTATGTATGGTCATTACGGTAAAATGTCGACCACTAGATGGCTCCTTGCAGGAGACATGCTTACAATGTTATAACTTGCTGTTGGTTCAGTGAACTGTGTCTCTGCTTTATTAAATACGTTTTTGTTGCAGCTCTGAAAAAGGGAGAGCTGTGGTGGTGTTTTTTTAAAACGCACTTTATTAATGGTTTTTACAGTCTCAACAAATACAGGTACGTCTTTGTCCGTCTCCATGCCTTCTCTTCTTTCGTTCGACTCGAGAGGAGTTCATGGCCGCCTGCAAAAAACGTAAATTAATGATTCCTTCAATGAAACTACGGAAATTGAAAATAATGCATCAAAACAGAAAATCAAGCGAGGAAATCACAAAATAAATTCTATAGCCCCCCTACAAAATTTATTTTCTGATTTCTTCGTTTGTGAATACAGTGCACAACAAAGGAATAAATAACAAACACTTCTGAGACAGGCCAGTCTCCTACATTTAACTGACATCTGATCGTTCTGTTGGAGCTACGCTCAAGGAAATGCCAAAATAAATTCAGTAGGGGGGGGGGGGGGGCGCGATAGAATTTATTTTGTGATTTCCTCGCTTGATTTTCTGTTTTGATGCATTATTTTCAATTTTCGTAATTTCATTGAATTAATTTACGTTTTTTGGAGGCGGTCATGAACGCCTCTCGAGTCAAACGGAAGGAGCGTAGCTCCACCTAGTGGATGCATTGTTGATTGCGCCTTATAATCCAGTGTGTCCAATATATGAACAAAATTACTAAATAGGCCATTCATTGAAGGTGTGACTCATAATCCAGTGGACCTTTTAGTGCGGAAAATAGGGAATAATAATTGTGAAGAAAAGTTTCCGGATTTCACCGAATGTGAGTTATTTTTGGAATGATGAATGAGGGAACACTGTACAGACTTTATTCTTATATTATATCTACACAATAAATATTTTCAAAATGACCTAACCATAGAACTCATCTTTTTATTTTATAATTAGTCACTGTAAGACACGTTTTTTTTTGATCTCATTTAGATTGACATCAACATTTGTGCAAAAATGTGGACTGTGCTTCTCTTTACATTTGATAATTTTTGTATTCCACAAAGGGATCACGTAAATGGGTCAAAAGCAAAAGGCAGCAAATGCTGACATGCAAACTAGTATCTCCCCTAAAACTGAAAATACAAAAACGAACAGTTAACTACTAAGGTGACACAAAAATCGAAGGGAGCGTGAATTGTTCAACAAGATGCACGAGTTGGAGGCTGAGGGCAAACGAACTACTACTGTGAGATGCATCGCCGCCTGCTGACGCTCCACGGAGAATCTTTAAACTTGTGGCAGTTAGGTGTTGGCTGCGCCTTCCGCCACCTTCACCAATCCCTGCTGGCCACCTGAGTCTCTGTAGAGATCCTTTTAGGATTACGAGCACTCACTCCCACAAGTATACACAACGCCAAGACAGCAGCCACATACACAAACAAAACAAGTACCGTAGTTAGATTAATAATATGACAGTAAACGTCCAGTGCTGTAACACCCCCACCCCAAAAGAACAAAAATCTCATAAATCTTTGCTCTCTTTTTTTCTTCTTGACTGATTCTTGTGGAGGCTCTCAGTCGTACAGGAAAGTTCCATCGTAGAAAGGGTTCTGTCAGTCGTCATCTGTACCTGTGGGTAAAAAGCAAAAAAGGACGTTTCGCTTCTCTCACAGAAGCTTCGTCAGCGGTAGACAACCCTGAAGTCTCCGTGAAGACTCCGGGAAGTTGCTCTGCGCTAAAAAGCTGAGCGTGGCCTGTTTGAGGACTGGGTGGGGATGGTTAGTCACGCCCCTATTGGTTTATTAGAGGCCCATTGGTTTCTATGTCCCTTACTGGTCAACAAGTTATTGTAAATAGGAGACAGGTTAAATCTGATACCTCCTTCACGGTTCAGAGAGGGTGAAAATTTTTTAACAAAAATCGCTTCCTTTACTCCCCTTTCAAACCATCTCTTTTCTGTTCCTAGGCTTTTTACTTGTTCATCTTCATTCAATTGTGTGGTTTCTTTTAAGTGTGCGTATACTGCACTTTTGTTATCATTGTTTTTCCATTTGTGTTGATAAAGTCTTTTCTTGAGTGTTTGTTTGGTTTCTCCAATGTAATGTTCCTTGCACTCACTTTCTTGGCAACGGATGGAATAAATCAGATTGCATTTTTGGGTGTTAGGAACCCGGTCTTTGGGGTGTACTAGTTTTTGTCTCAATGTGTTTATCGGTTTAAAATAAACAGGAATATCATGTTGTAGAAATATTCTTTGTATTTGCTCTGAGAGGCCGGCAATATAAGGTACACAGACACCCCTTCTCTTCTTTTCTCTCTGTTGGTTGGTTTCCTCTCTGTTTGTTTTAATTTTCCTAACTTTGCCAAAGGCCATT